CTTCCTTTATGTTTGTTCAGAAAAAAGGACTTAGGTATTTTCTGCGAAAAATGCAACCTTTGTTTGTTCCCAAGTGTAGACAGACTGTAGCTGCTGATTGTTATAAGTTGTATTTGGCTGAAAAGGAAAAACTGAAACTCAAAATCAAGGGGAATGTTAGTAGAATCTGTTTGACCACTGATTCTTGGACTTCTTTGCAACAGATTAACTATATGTGTCTTCCTGCCCATTACATTGATAATAGTTGGAATCTGAAAAAGAAAATCTTGAGCTTCTGCCCTATTTTGAGTCATAGAAGTATTGATATTGGGACGTCAATTGAGGATTGTTTGTTGGATTAGGAAATTGAAAATGTTTTTACTATCTCTGTTGACAATGCAAGTGCTAATGATGCTGCTATGGAATATTTGAAAAACAATTTGGTCATCGTGAAAAATGTCTTTTGGGTGCAAAATGGTTGCATATTCGTTGTATGGCTCATATAATGAATCTTATTGTTAAGGATGGTTTGAGTCATATTGGTAAATCCGTTGAAAGGATTAGAGCTGCAATAAAATATATTAGGCAGTCCACTCAAAGAATTGCAAAGTTTAGGAAATGTGCTGAAATAGAAAAGTGTAATAGCTCTAAGCATCTGATTCTAGATGTTTGTACAAGGTGGAATTCCACATATTTGAAGTTGGAAACAGCCCAAGCTTATGAAAGAGCATTTAAGAGGTATGAATTAGGTGAACCACACTATAGGGACACTCTGAAACATGTTCCTGAGGATCCAAAAAATTTAGGGCCAAGGCTGCCTACGGGATTGGACTGGTTAGAAGCGAGAAGAGCGGCTGGTCTTCTCCAACATTTTTACGAGATTATGTTGAAGGTATCTCGTACCAAATCTATTTCTTCATATTCCTTTTTTGATAATGTTACTTGCACTGAAGTGCTGTTGAAGAAAATCATTAATGAAACTGTAGATCCTGAACAACATGCTATGGCTTTAATGATGAAATCCAAATTTGATAAGTACTATGGTAGCATTGAAAAGAATAGAAAGATGAATGTTGTTCTTTACATAGCATCTATTTTAGATCCAAGAAATAAGTTTGAGGACATGGAAATTGTGCTAGAAAGATTGTATGGAGAAGTTGATGGGAAAACGAAACTGGATTTTGTTAAAAGTTCTTTGAGGGAGTTGTATGCGGAATATGTTAGAATTCATGCCTCTGATTCTAGATTTATTTCATCTTCCTCCACTGTTGGGAGTAGTTCTTCTCAATCTGCTGCATTAGGGAAAAGATCTTCTCTGATAGACATTGAACCTTCAAAGATGCTTAGGGATCAATTTAGGGCAGAGCTGTTGAAGAGGAAAATTTGGAAAGCGGTGGAAATATTCAAAACTCAGATTTAGAGAAGTATTTGAGGGAGACAACTGAATCTGATTATCCCACATTTGATTTGCTGACCTGGTGGAAGGTTAACAGTCCAAGGTTTTCGATCCTTTCTTTGATGGCTCGTGATATTTTAGCAGTCCCTATTTCTACTATGGCGTCTGAATCTGTTTTTAGCATGAGTGGGAGGGTTTTGGATGCTTTTAGAAGCTCTTTAACTCCAAAGACTGTTCAAGGCTTAATATGCGCTCAAAATTGGCTTAGGGAGGCTGTGGAAGCAGAAGATGTTGAAGAAAAATGGGAAGATCTCATAAAAATTGAAGAAGGTATTTGCATTACTAAATGACATTTCCGATTTTCAGTATTTACATTTTGATGGCTTCAGCTAATTAACTTCATTTCTGGATTTTTTTTCAGGTGCTGAAACAGGATAACTAAATCTGGAATGAGGATGTGGCCTGAATTTCTTAGTTTTTGCAGACTGAAACAAGTACTTATCAAACTGAATTTCTTAATTTGCAGTCTGATATTATGAGTTTGTGTCTTTGTGACTTTGTGGCCTGAATTTGAACACTTACATTCTGTGTTTTGAATTTGCATTTCTCAGATTGCCAAGGTGAAGATTTCAGTTCAACTGTGAACTGTGATTCTGTACAAACAAGACTGATTCTGTGAACTGTGACTCTGTTTGTTCTTCATTTTCTGTTTTTAAGTTGTTGGGACTGTGGACTTGTAATAAATTTTTTAAATTTGTTGTAAACTTGTAATGTTGTGGCATGTTAGTGTCACCTGTGGGTTGTGGATGTTGGCGTTGTTGCTTGTTACTCGTTTAGTTCATTTGTTGAATGACTGAATGTCGGAATGAGACCATTTGCCATTTGCTGTTTATGTTTATGTTTTCAGTTTACTGGAAGTCTGGAATGATGTTTAAGTTTGCATTTTCCAGTTTGTGAAATCAGAATTCAGAAATGTTAAGTTGGTCCCCTAATTCGGTTAAACCGAAACCGAACAGCTAAAAACGATTGCTAATTCGGTCGGTTCGGTTCGGATTAATAGAATCTACGGTTCGGTTTGGGGTAGATTATTAGATTGAAAAAAACTGATTCACTCGAACCGTATTCACCCGAACCAACCGAACCCACCCGATCTGACAGCCCTAGTGAGAGCATACATCCTCTGGATAACCAATCAATTGCCAACAGTCCTCCTTGTCACTTCCAGGTTTCAAGCAATGAGAACACTTAAGCTCAGATCGTTTCTTTCCACTGTTATTACCCCCAGCTATTGGAAAAGGCATCTTTGCATACAAAGCAGCATTATCTGTGATCTTGATAGTAGAATGCCCAGCTCCTTTCGCCATGAATACTTAATTCTCAGAACTAGACGTACCAGACATACCAGGCAATTTTTTGTCAGCTTTAAGCAACATATTATACACCTTGTTTACTGATGGCGGTGGCTCCATTATTAGAATATGGTCTTTAACTGTCTCATAAATTTTGTTTAGTCCCATTAGAAACTCTATCAGTTTATCCTCATCATCTCTAGTTTCCAACAGTTTAGCTATAGCTGGTTGACACTCAGGAAAAGGTCTATAGTATGCATACTCTTCCCATATGCGTTTCAGAGCTCCATGATACTTATTCAGAGGCATATCTCCTTGTGGAACACTAATTCTTTCCTGTCTCATCCTATAAAGCATCTGACTATTCGATGTTCCATACTTCTCAGCTAAATCAGTCCACAGTTCATGAGCACTCATGTTATACATGTAACTTTCTATGATATCTTTATCAAGAGCAGCTATAATCCACGATTTAACTGTAGAATCTACTGATTTCCATTCTTCAAAATCATCAGAGTCGGGAGAGGGACTTAGATATGTTCCGTTGATGAATCCTACTTTCCTTTTGGATTCCAGGACCGTCCTCATGGATCTACTCCAAACCAAATAATTGCCTTCATTGAGTGGTACCGAAATCAACATCATGCCAGGATGATCCGAGCCATGAAGCGTGAGAGCATCTTCCAGGTTTCGTCGCCTTCTCGAGCTCCCGAGTTCTCAATCCGCCATGATTTTGCTCCATAGATAGAAACAACAAAATTGAATCGGCAGGGTTTCAAGATTTGCTAAACGGAAGCGACTTACTGTGGGAATTGCCAAGATATCGAGCCTAGGACTCTGATACCATGACAAATTTCCCAGGGGTTTGAGAGGAAAATGAAGTCGACATGAAAGGGGAAAAATTTCTTATGTAATTATCTGGAAAAACATTAAATAAACTGTACTGTATTTCCCTATTTATACTAATTACAAATACAACTGAATAAACTGCCTGTTGACTAACATTGACTAGTATCCACAGTCTAGTCCTGCAATTTACAAAACATGTACAAGCTAGTCCCTGTCATTTCTAGTCCCTATCATTTACATACTTGGAATTACAGACTAATTTGGATCTCCTGGATCAAGTTCTTCATGACTTGGAACCTGCAAGTGATCCCGTAACTCGTATAATTTGAAAAGAAGCAGTTTAATTTGGACCAGATTTGGATTCATATGCTGTGGTTTGAGAGGGAGTCTTGCCAGCTATTTATGGAGTCGACAGAGAGAGGATCTATCTTCCTCAAAAAGATCGCATTAATTTGAGATGTTGAATTGGGGGTTGATTCAAACTAGTTTGTGTTTAAAGAAGAAACTTAATTAATGAAGAATATCAATTACGTTTCGATAGGAATTTGAGAATTTGCACCTCGAATCTTATAAGAAATGAGATATAGTTTGTTTAGAGCATGTAAAAAATCGCACAAGATATCCCGTAACGTTATCATTTCTTTTTTTTTTTTCTTGAAAAGGAACACTATCATTTCTAAAATGCACGATTAATGTAACATTCAATTCAGCGGATAATTATTAGAAAATAGAGAAACCAAAATGATACACAAAGGTATAATTGGAGATGTAAAATCCTAGTAAGTACTTGTTCGGCGATTAAGTACTGCTATGGTTGTGTGCTCTGTGCTGTGAGAGGATCGAATTCTTTACTGGAGGAAATGATAGGCAATCACAAATCAAGTTGTTCCAAAGTTCTATTTATTTGTGTTTTAATGATGTTATAGTTAGAACATAGAATATTAGATACTGAAATTGATTGATTTCTTGAGACTTTGGCCGTCGGGTGTTTAGCTGATGGCTCCACATAATGTTGTATTTGTAACGGGATCACGTTCCGATAATCAGTTTTTTTTTCCCCAACGTTTATTTCTTTCATTTTAAAAAACAATTAAAAAGAATTTACATGGTAGCTTTTAACCTCGTTTCTATCTTCTACCTTTTCTTTCTTTCTTTTTTTTGAAAAAGTTTGTTTTATTCCCATAATTGGTTTCTTTTGAAAATGTCTCAGTTACCATACTTGTTTCATGGATTATGATTTTGTTTTTGAAATAATTTGATCGATTATGGTCGTTATCATCTTAATGAGATATAAAATTCAATCAACATTTTTGCTCAAAATCACGCCATAAATACAGTGCTGCATCTCTTTGAACGCTCACTCAGTCAACATTTTTTCTTCCTAGAAACACTGCGTGAAACTTTTTCCTTTGGGCTCATGCCAAAACATGAGTTTCATCATAATAATTTTGCTCATTTTCTCTTCACTTTGTTCTTCTTCTTATGCTGTCCCTCTTTCCACAAGATCAAGATGGATCGTAGACCATGAAACTGGAAAAAGAGTAAAACTTGCTTGCGCAAATTGGGAAGGCCATGTTCAAATGTTGCCTGAAGGGCTCAACAAACAGCCCTTATATCACATTGCTAGGGAGATTTCTTTGATGGGTTTCAATTGTGTTCGTCTAACCTATGCAACCTACATGTTTACCCATCACGCTGACGTCACCGTCGCGAAAAACCTCGAGAATAACAACTTGACTAGTGCCCTTCAAGGGGTGAAGAAACACAACCCTCACCTCTTGAGCCTTAGTCTTGTGGATGCCCAAAAGGCTGTCGTTGATGCCCTTGGTTCCCATGGTGTTATGGTTCTTCTTGATTGTCAAGTTAGCAAGCCAATGTGGTGTTGCAATGATGATGATGGGAATGGTTTCTTTGGAGATCAATATTTTGACCCCCAAGATTGGTTGAATGCTTTGGCAATAGTGGCTAAAAGATACAAACACACACCAATGGTATGTTACCATGCCCCTATATCCTTTTTGCTTTTTGTGTGAATATATATAGTACTTCCTTAATTTCATAATTTGAGTTCTTTCGAATGTGATTTTCTGATAAATTTTGTATTTGTTACGATTGAGTATTTCAGTCAATAATTTGCATATCCCTCGATTAATATTTTTAATCCAATGTGATATTATCGTTGCCCGAATCATATAGTGGACTGCAATTTTCCAAATGTGTGAAAATGAATCATATTTGTGTAGTTTAATCTATTTTATTAAGTTCACCCACATATTTTTATGGAATGCCTCATAATCAATTGGAATGGAAATATGTCATTGCAGGTGATGGGAATGAGTTTAAGGAATGAATTGCGCGGTCCACGCCAAGACCAAAATGTTTGGTATAAGTATGTAAAGGAAGGGACAAAATTAATTCACAGGGAAAATCCAAATGTTTTAATCGTGATTTCAGGCTTGGATTACGACATTGATTTCAGTTTCCTCAAGAACAATCCCTTAAACCTAAACCTCCACAAAAAATTGGTGTACGAGACACACAGATATGCTTTCTCTGAAGGGCAATATGGGTTATGGTCCAATACATCTATTAACTATATGTGCCAAAATGTAATCCAAGAGATTGAGGCCAAATCAGGCTTTTTGTTTAAGGGAAAACATGCTGCCCCATTGATTGTTACTGAATTTGGAATTGATCTGAATCAGAATACCCAAACTGACAGCAGTTTCTTGACCTGTTTGCTGGCTTGGATGGCTGAAAATGATCTTGATTGGGCCATTTGGGCTGGGCATGGAAGCTATTACCTCAGAGATGGCAATCAGGACCCTGAGGAATCTTATGGGATGTTTGATGGGACTTGGACAAAGCTTAGGAATGAAGATTTTCATACCAAGATTCAACTCATCCAGCAAATCCTTCAAGGTATAATTAATCACATTGATTTGTTGATCAATTTAATGATGACGCATTATTACTCCATCTATTCCAAAACGATTGGCCAGTTTAATTTTTAATTTTATTATAATTTGTAATAAAAGTGAAATCTAAACTAAACGATCATTTTGTGATTGATGAAGTACTTTTGATAATATTCATTGGGATTTGAGGTGTGTTTTAATTGATTCTACCGAAAATCTTATGAAATTTACTTTTAATCATGTCTCCTTCTTTTCATGAATTTTGCTTAAGATTATAGTTTGTGGCTATGCATTATCATTTGATGTCATTCTTTCTCTGAGTGCTTTAACCTAAAACGATGTGAAATTATTTATTTCTTTTCCAATCTAATTTGTCTTATTTTCCTGCATTGTGTAGTTCCATTTTCAAGGCATCCAATGCATAGACTGCTGTATCATCCATTGAGTGGGAGCTGCGGTGTGGCGCAAGGGAATCAAGTCCTAGCAGGTGACTGCTGGAAAACAAGCATATGGAGTTTCAGAGGAGAGGGAAGTCCAATTAGATTGAAGGGAAGCCACCGATGCTTGACGGCCGTCGGAGACGGATTGCCGGTGGTTCTCACCGATTATTGCTCCGGTGAATCGAGTAGGTGGAAATTAGCCCGGAATTCCATGTATCAGCTAGCCAATAAGGATGACAATGGGAATGAATTGTGCTTGGATTTTGATCCCAACATTTCCAAAAAGGTTTTGACAAGGAAATGCATTGTTGCTGGAGAAGATGATGCTGTTAAGCTTCAAGGCCAAGAGAACCAATGGTTTGTTCTTGTCAAGTCTAATGCAAAATGAGGCTTCTTTTTCGCTAGCTTGTCCTGAAATTTTATTTTATTTCTTTTCGTTTTTGGGTTGTTTGTTTCGTCAACCTGCAAATTCTTATGTAATAAAACGTGAAGGCTCGAGCTTCACTATTGTCGTTAATGATGACAAATACTACTAATAAAACTTTTTTTTTAGGTTTTTGTATCGCAACATCGTAGGCTCGTAGGGTAGAAGAAAGAAAAGCAAGTTTCAAATATATTGTTGAAGGTCGAAATAAAGGTTTGAATCGTCAAATATAATACTTTGATGATTATCAACTTTAACTATCACCTTATTACTTTCAATTAATCAAGTACATCATCATCTCTTTTATAGGCCTAGTTTACATACATACATAGTTTGTAAACTCGCAATCCTGGATCGTAGGATCGGACCCTGGATCGTAGGATCGTCCGATCCTACGATCCCAGGCACCTAAATCAATCCTGGATCGATCAAACTCGAATTTCGCAGTGGGATCGGTCAGGATCGTAAGATCGGTTCGAGTTTACTATTCATCAATTATAAAAAAATTAATTGAGCTTATTGAGATTTTTTTCTCTTATTATTTTTTTTTGTCCACATTCAATTGAGACTAATATTCTTTGAGGAAACTTTAATGCTTAGAGAAATGTATTTTAGAAAGTTTTTTTTAATAAAATGAAAAGAAAAACTGTAAGAGAAGAGTTTTTATTAAAAAGTTATGCAAAAATTCATATAAAAAAATTGAATTTACACATTTATTTTTGTTTAAATGTTAAATATTTTATCTAAAGATAATTACAACTGCATTATCGAAGCAATTAATTATATAACATGTATAATTAATTTTACGATCCTACTATTTCGATTCTATCGATCCCATTTACGATCCGATCCTATGACCCCATTTTGATCTTACGTAGGATCACGATCCTGCAAACATTGCATAGAGTACTTGATAAACATTAATAAACTAATTAATTTTCTCTAAATAATAAGTACAGTAATTAGATTGAGATTACTCTAAAACTTCTAGTCAACACCTATCTCTTTAATGCTCTATCTTTAACAATAGGATGATTTAAAAGGGCAGCCGTTGTGGACCGGATTTAGATTCATATATATACTGTGGTCTGTCGGTTCATGGTCTGTGGAAGATGAATAAAGGGCGGGACACTTCGCGGTTATTTGTGGAGATGATAGAGAAAGGACTCTTGTCCGCAAAGTGTCACATTTGAGATGTTGTATACTATAAGATACATCTCGATAGTATTTTGATTTGTTCATAATTTTATTTAATTTAATCTATTCTTTCAATTGAAAATAAAAATTTTAAAATATTTTATAATAATTAAGAGAACTTGATAAATGCGATAATACATTTTTAAAGTTTTATTCTTAATTATAAGAACATGCTATGAAATTTAGGACAAATAAAAAATGTCTTATAATAAGAACATGAGGGAGTATTATCGAAAGTCGATGAAAAATCAGATTATGTTTGTAATCGGATGTTGAGAATCGGCAACCTTATAAGAAATGAGAGATTTAATTAGAACATGTGACAAATGGAACAAGATTTTCTGTTACACCATTAATAATTTTTTCAATGTGTGATTAATGTGTACCATTGTTCTGTACAAAATCACGCCATAAATAAAGTATTGTGATCCCTCTAATTACTCTGACTCAGTCGACATTTTTTCCATCCTAGTTAGAAACATTTTGTGAGACTGAAAAATCATACCAAAAACATGAGTTTCATCATAGCAATTTTGCTCATTTTCTCCTCACTTTCTTCTTCTTCTTGTGCTGTCCCTCTTTCCACAAGATCAAGATGGATTGTAGATGACTCTGGGAAAAGAGTAAAGCTTGCTTGTGTAAATTGGGCAGGCCATATTCAAATGTTGCCTGAAGGGCTTAACAAACAACCATTGTCTAACATTGCTAAGCAGATTTCTTCTATGGGTTTCAATTGTGTTCGTCTAACCTATGCCACATATATGTTTACCCGCCACGGCCATCTCAACGTGGGGGAATACCTCGAACATAACAAATTGACTCTTGCCCTTGAAGGGGTGAAGAAACACAACCCTAACATTTTGAACCTTAGTGTGTGGGATGCCCAAAAGGCTGTCATTGATGCCCTTGGTTCCCAAGGTGTTATGGTTATTCTTGATTGTCATGTTAGCAAGCCCAAGTGGTGTTGCAATGATAATGACGGGAATGGTTTCTTTGGAGATCAATATTTTGACCCTCAAGATTGGTTGAATGCTTTATCTACAGTAGCCAAAAGATACATAAATACACCAATGGTATGTCATTATGTCCCTTCTCATTTTTTTTTCTTCTTTGGCATATTAATTTACACGCTGTCTACCATGGACAATAGTCTAAATCCTCGAATTAAAAATTTCTAAAAGACTATGTAGTGTCACGCTTGATTAAAGCTTCAATATTCATGATTCAAACCATTGAATTACAATTGTAACATTTCGGATGATTGCAGGTGATTGGAATGAGTTTAAGAAACGAATTTCGCGGTCGGCGCCAAGACCAAAATGTTTGGTATACATATGTAGAGCAGGGTGCAAATTTAATTCACAAGAAAAATCCAAACGTTTTGATCCTCATTTCGGGCTTAGGTTACGACATTGATTTAAGTTTCCTCAAGAAAAAACCACTAAACCTAAACCTCCACAACAAATTGGTGTACGAGATACACAGATACGCTTTCTCACAAGCGCAATACGGGTTCTGGTCCAACACATCTATAAACTACATGTGCCAAAAGGTTGCCCAAGAGATTGAGGCCAAATCAGGGTTTTTGAGGGGAGGTCGACAAAATGGTGCCCCATTGATGCTTACTGAATTTGGGATTGATCTGGATCAAAACAGCCAACCTGACACCAGTTTTGTGACTTGTTTGCTGGCTTGGCTGGCTGAAAATGATCTTGATTGGGCGATTTGGTCTGGTCATGGAAGCTATTACCTTAGAGATGGAAAGCAGGATGCTGATGAATCTTATGGGATGTTTGACGGGACTTGGTCAAAGGTTAGGAATCCAGGTTTCCATACTAAGCTTCAATTAGTCCAACAAATCCTCCAAGGTAATTAATTACTACTACTATTGACTCTTTTTTCAAAATATAAGTCCGCCTTTCTATTTGTGATCTGTTACGTTATAAGTCACTTTGTTTTTCAATACATAATTTTTTTAGATTTTTTCTAAATTATTAGTATTGTGTTTTAAATGCTACTTATATAAGTCCACTTTGTTTTATAAATTTTTACCAAGCTTCAAAATAGCTCTAACTTTTTTAAATGGTACTTTGATTCCCCTGTCCAAATTAGCATTAAACAATGTGAAAATAATTTTTCTTTTTGAAAAAATATGTAATTTGTCTTAATTAATTTCCTGCCTTTTGTAGCTCCATTTTCTACACAACCAATGGATAGAGTAATGTACCATCCATTGAGTGGTAGCTGTGGTATGGCACAGGGGAATGAAGTCCAAGCAGGTGATTGCTTGAAAACCAGCGTATGGAGCTTCAATGGAGACGGGAGTCCAATTAGATTGAAGGGAAGTAACCAGTGTTTGAAGGCTGCCGGAGAAGGATCGCCGGTGGTTCTTACCGATTATTGCTCCGGCGAATCGAGCAGCTGGAAATTGGCCCCGAAGTCCATGTATCAGCTATCCAATGGGAATGGTTTATGCTTGCATTTTGATTCCAGCATTTCCAACAAGGTTTTAACAAAGAAATGCATTGTTACTGATCCTGATTATGTTAAGCTTCCGGGCCAAGAGAGCCAATGGTTTGTTCTTGTTCAGTCCAATACAAAATGAGGCTTCTTTCCTCTTCTCTTATGAACTTTCATGAAATTTTGATTGTTTCGGTCATTTTCTTTTCTTTTCGTTTTCTATTGTCGTTAATGACGATAAATTAATACAGTAATTAATAGATGTGCATTAAATTTTAACTGGGATATATACATAGTGAAAATGGTAATTTATATGGTGAACAGGGTTTACCATATATAGTGCACTGGTTTTGGAAAGTGTATAACACGCACATAAAAGGAGAGTAAATTTAATTAATTTTCCACAAATAAAACCCATATGCAAATTTTATTCCCATTATTTTATCAAAATTGAAAATTGTTTCAAATTATTCATAATTACTATATGCGATGTTCATGACAAAGAAATTCAAAAATTTTCAAATAATATTCATAATATTATTTTGCATTATACATGAAACAAAACACAAATATTCATGACCTCAAAATATAATTATAATGTTCATAACAACATAATTAGAAAAAATAAATAATATAACTTATTGTTCAAAGGTTTAAAAATATATTTAATATTTGCATACATCATAAAATATTCATAAAAATATATCCCATTGTTCATATGGTCCAAGCACAACTAACATGAAAACACTAGTTGAACATTACTTAATACATGTATGAAAAACTCTAAATTACTTTATGAACATACTTCCATCAAATGTACATTAGCAACTATTATCGGTTGTCAAAGCACAAAAAAATAAAAAAAAAACTATATATATATATATATATAAATCATGAAAATTGAATATAATTAGTATGAACTCGGATAAGTAAGTTATGAACCAAACGTCTAATTACTTTGTCACAAGTTTAATATGAACATTATAATATAATATATGTGTACGATTGTATGAACATCAAATCATGATTGCATGAACATGTAGTGATTCTTCCCAATCAATTTTATCGGTCGAAATTGTTTTTTTCCTTTAAATATGGTACAATAGATAAGACATGTTTTGATTGTGATTTTACTTATATTAGGAATGGTATTTTGAATTGTAAATCCTATTGAGTAAACTACGGGCCGATTGTCTGGTAATATTAATTCCATAATTCATTAATTTAATTTATAATAAATTATTATCCCTAATTTATTGTCAGAAAAGTGCGCGTAAATACAAAACCCGTGAACCAATTATTGTGAATAGGGTGCACGGTATAATCTGAGTTAAAATTTCATGGCTGTGCCTTTTAATGATGATAATAATGATAAAAAAATGTAATAAACATTTTGCGCGGGGATGGTACAACAGTTGATCAATATTGAGTTCTTTAATTAATTGAACCATTTCTATTTTTCGTATGTCACATTTAATACTATCTCCTTAATGTTATTTGGTCTTTCACATACAAACCCCTCCATGTACGTCGATTTATTGTGTACAACAAGATAAACCAAAATCCTCTCATTCTTAAAGTCATTTTGAATCAATTTTATCTTTCCTAACTATAATTTGTCAACGTTATCTTTTGGAGCGAAAATTTTAAATTTTTCAAAAACAATATTTGAATTATTTTTGTTTATCTTTAACGATAATCAGTTTAATTTGCTGGCCCAAATCTATTAGATGAACATTCCTTTTCATACCGGAAGACTAATTTAATCTTCATAGTAAATATTTGAGGATTGAAATCCCAGATTCAAACGCCCAATTTTCCTTTTTTCTTTTCTTTTTTCTTTTTCTTTTTTGGTTGCCAGTGAAAGAATCAATAGTTACAGAAGTCTCCAATGCAGAGCAATTGTATGTTGGATTTCTGTTCTTGTTCTTTTCACTTAGATTGGTAGCCAAGTTTGAAGGATATAGCGCCATATGATCGTCTCAAATTTCCAAGCTCGCATGCATACATTAACAGCATCGATCCTAAGCGTCAATTGATCTCTCCATCTCAAAATGACTGTCTGATTTGAATTTTATTTATATACAAATTATAATATAAATTAAAAATTAAAATTAGACAATCATTTTGAGATGGAAAAAATTTGAAGAACGGTTTTGTTTGCCATGTGACTACATTGAAGCTGTAATTTTTGTAATGGTACTTGTAAAACTTTGCTTCAACAGCGTTACCTTAGACCGGCCGGCCGGCTAGCCAGCCTCAAAATCGTAATGCATCAACTGCGCAAAAGATCAAAGAACTTGCCGCGCCGTTCACTGGAGTTTCCCGGGAAAAAGATTGCAACAGGTCAGGGTTTTCTTAATACTAATGTGGTTCAATTTTTTACCTCAGTTTTTCACCCCTAGATTTAATCAGACATGTACGTATTAACGTGGTTCAATTTCATCAAAAAAAAAATCTTTGTAGGCGAGAATCTGGTGAAAAAATTTCCCTTATGTTATAAATCTCCATTTCATCAAAATAGTCTCCTTTGTCCCAAAATATTACTTTGCTTGAATTTTTAATTTTAGTGTAATTTATACGAAAAGTGAAAATTGAATTAGACAATCACTTTAGGATTGAGAGAATACAATTTACATTTTATAATTATTTAATGGGACCGAAAGAATATAAAGTAATACTCTCTCTGTCCCATAATTATTGTCCAGTTTAAATTTTTATTTCTAGTTTAAATTGTACTAAAAGTGAAATTTCAAATTAGACAATAATTTTGGGACAGAAGGAGTACAAATCATTTCAAACCAGTATCAACTAACAACACTCTGATCATTCATGACGTCCGTGGTAGCGAGGCTATTGCTATATTCATGAAGTTATGCAGCATGAATAGATAAATTGATGGAAGTTTCTTCACCATACATTATTTTTAATGATCAATTTTTTTATCATTTTTTCTGGTGATTACGAAGGAATATATTCAAAATTCATTTGTTTACCCATAAAAAAAAAAAATCATTTTACGCAAATTAGTCGATCGATTTCATGCAGACCATTGTATGTAAATGTTATATAATAGATTTGGCTCTTACCGTCTAGTGTTTGTAGTTTTTGTTCGTTTAATTTTTATTTTTTACCAACTAAAACCATATACGGAGATAAACTCAAGCCGCGGGTTGACTCTCCAGAACCAAATCTCCAGCCACTACAATTCTCTCAATCCTCTTGTTGCTATTCATCAACAAAATTGGCCTCCCAAAATTGAGCCAAAACAAAAATTATCGTCATTTCAAATCCTGAAATTCGACCACTCTATTCCCCTCATTGAGCCAAGATTTATAATAAAAACCTTTATCCATCTATCATAACAATCTCCGGCGACAACGGCAACATCTGCCATTAAAACTAGCTTCAAGCATTAACCCTAGTACCCCCTCCAAAGTAATACTACTAGTTCATTGGTCTAATAATCTAATAGAGAATGAACTATATCCATCTGTTACTAGCACTCCCTCCAAAGTAGTAAAGTGGAAGATGCCTATAAATGTTTAGTTGTCCCCAAAGAAACATCATTTCGCCTAATTAATAAAGATATTATTACTTCCAAATGCTTTTACTGTTATCTTTCTTTCATAACCAGGCAGTATATATTTACTTTTTACTAATCCTAGTTCGCGCTCAAGTTCGACCAATTGTTACCAAGAAAAAGAAGCAAAGATTTCGCCGAGATATATTCCATTGAATATCTTCTATTTGTTTCGAATGGATTACATAATATCATTGAAAATATCTTTTTCTTTTTTCGGTTATCTCATAACCAGATTTTCTTCGATTCTTTACGATTCTTATCAGTTGTAAGTAGATAAAATTTCATCAACATCTAAACCAAAAAACACGCTACAAATACTTTCAATCCGTCCCTCTAGTTTCTTTGTCAACACAAGGCTTTTTTTCCCTTAACCATTCCGTCATGCGAAAAAACATGAATTTCATCATAGCAATTTTGCTCATCTTCATTTCAATCTCTTCCTCCCAAGCTGTCCCTCTTTCCACAAAGTCAAGATGGATCGTAGATGAGGACACAGGGAGAAGAGTAAAACTTGCTTGTGCAAATTGGGAAGGCCACGTTTCAATGTTGCCCGAAGGGCTTCACAAGCAGCCATTGGATCACATTGCTAGGGGTTTTTCTTTGATGGGATTCAACTGTGTTCGTCTAACTTACGCCACATATATGTTCACCCACAATGCGCATCTCACGGTTGCGCAAAACTTTGAAAACAACAACCTAACCAGTGCCCTAAAAGGGATGACCAAACACAACCCGCAACTCTTGGGGCTTACCCTTGCGGATGCCCAGAAGGCGGTCATCGACGCCCTTGGTTCCCATGGTGTTATGGTACTTCTTGATTGCCAAGTTAGCAAGCCAATGTGGTGTTGCAGTAATGATGATGGGAATGGCTTCTTTGGAGACCAGTATTTTAGCCCTCAGGATTGGTTGAAAGCTTTGTCTATTGTAGCCAAAAGATACAAAGATACACCAATGGTATGTTTTACTATCACTACTCTCTTAATGAATTATGGCATTTGTTATCCATCTTCTATACTTTAGATCCACATTACATCAGTGTTTGTAATGTACATTAGATATTTAAGTATTTACATGGTATCATCAATTTTGACCATTTGGATGGACATATATTGTTATTTTGTAGGTTATGGCAATGAGTTTAAGGAACGAATTGCGAGGTCCACTTCAAAACCAATCCGTTTGGTACAAATATGTGGAGAAGGGCGCAAAACTAATCCACAGGGAAAATCCAAATGTTTTGGTCCTGATTTCAGGCTTAGATTACGACATTGATTTCACTTTCCTCAAGAACAATCCTTTACCCTTACAAAACCTTAACCAAAAACTAGTCTACGAGACACACAGATACGCTTTCACCGAAGGTCAACTCGACTTTTGGACCAACACATCCATAAACTACATGTGCAAAAACATAACCCAAGAAATTGAGACCAAATCAGGGTTCCTGAGGAGTGGGAAAGATGCTGCCCCATTGTTTATTACCGAATTTGGGATTAACCTGTCCGAAGACGATCAAGCTGACAGCAGTTTTGTGACTTGTTTGCTGGCTTGGATGGCTCAAAATGATCTTGATTGGGCCATTTGGGCTGGTCACGGAAGCTATTACCTTAGAGATGGAAATCAGGATCCTGAGGAAACTTATGGAATGTTTGATGCGACTTGGAAAAAGGTCAGAAATCCAGATTTCCATACCAAGCTTCAATTAGTCCTCCAAACCCTTCAAGGTAATAATTCGATGCGTACGTGTATGTTACATTATTCATTTATTTTATTTTTTTTTGCAATGTTATAATAATGTTAGATTTTAAATTTTGTGTAGATCCGTTTTCAAGACATGAAACGTACAAAGTTATGTACCATCCATTGAGTGGGACTTGTGGGGTGGCCCACAAGAATCAAGTCCTAGCAGCTGGTGGTTGTTGGAAAACGACCCAATGGAGCTACAGGGGAGAAGGAAGTCCAATTAGACTGAAGGGAACTAATCGGTGTTTGATGGCCGTCGGAGACGGGTTGCCGGTGCTTCTTTCCGATGATTGTTCCGGCGAATCGAGCAGCTGGAAATTGGCCAAGAATTCCATGTACCAGCTAGCCAACAAGGATGAAAATGGGAATCATTTGTGCTTGGATTTTGATCCCCATGTCTCCAAAATGGTGCTAACGACCAAATGCATTGTTGCGGAGGAAGATGATCCTGATTATATCAAACTTCAACGCCCAGAGAGCCAATGGTTCCTTCTTGTTGATTCTAATGCAAAATGAGTTTTCTAGATTTTTTTTAAATTTCTTTTCATGAATTTTCTAGCCAAGTAGCTGGGAGATGTGATCGGGTCTTTTAATACAGTCAAGATTTAGATTTCTTTTTAGATTCAATTTAGACTTTTCGGTATTTAATTAAGTTAGGTGGCTAGTCTTCATTTATTAATTTATTATTGATTTTTTGTAATAATTTTCCAAATTGAAATTCTTTGTATTATTATTATTTTATTTTTTTTGAAAAATTCATGGTGCCCATTTTATTTTTTATTTTTGCATTTGAAAGGATTCTTCGTATTATTTGAGTTTCTCTGTTTACAACTTTTTTGTGATGTATGATGATAACTAGAAATGCCTCTCTTATTTATCTTGAAATTCAGCTTTACATTCGATAATCAAAGGGAACATTGAGGCCAGTTTCAATACTTTACGCACATTAAACAACAAACTGTATTTTGTTCATAAAATCAATTGAAAAATAGCACTCTAAGATTCAATAATACTCCATCCCGGCTATTAATTAAAAAAAAAAAAAAACCTCCATGAAGAATAAATAGTCTTAATTTTGGAAGCAAAACATGCCATTTTTTAGTCTACAAAGTAATGGACGGAATAAGAAAATCACAAGTGTCTCACTAGCAATATTCAAACATAATACTTACAAACATATATCGATCATCCGTCTGTTAATGAAATAAACTTCCATTGACTTTTATTTTGTTTTTTATTTTCTTTGAAATTATTCATCAAGGAGATTTAAATCGCGGATCTTATAAAGAAAATTATAAAATCCTTCATAATGCACTTCCTACCCGAATCGACACGACATTACCTTTCATTTTCTTTAATTTGAATGAGAACATGGTGTTGAACACTTCATAATCAAGGTGTCACAATCGGATGAAGATCTGACTTTTTCAAGGTCCATAATAGAGCCAGCCAACTAAACATATTCCACATTTTGGTGAAAAAAACAGATGGATCAACTTTGACTTTTATTATTGTCGAAGTTACGGCGCCGTATGAGCGGTTTGCTAATGCTTTCTCATATCGACACTTCACACTTCAGTGCACCAGATTGAATAGATTTTGATTATTACTCTCTCCATCCCATAATTATTGTCCAATTTGAGTTTTCATTTCTAGTTCAAATTGTACTAAAAGTGAAATTTTAAACTGGACAATAATTTCGGGACAGAGAGAGTACATGTTAAATAAAAGAAAATAAATGTTGGGCTTCATAGTTTATCTCTAGTTGCTTGCTTTTCTTTTCGTTTTTTTTTTCGCCCCCTTTTGAAGGATGTCCTTTTGTTATTAGTACTCTTATGTCTCAAAATTATTATCCAGTTTGAAATTTCATTTTTATACAATTTGAAGTAGAAATAAAAACTCAAACTGGACAATGATTATGGGACGAAAGAAGTAGTAGTTTACTATATATATTCTTCAAACTAACATGAAAATGGGTAATCACCATCTTAACAATTCTCTAGATTCGTTAGGATTCTGTTTGTAAGGGCGATTAGGAGTTTTAAAAGATGAAATTTGCAGTTAAAGCGGCTCCACTTCTCATTCAACTGATCAACCAAACACCATCTTTGATTTTACTCCCTCCGTCCTAGAAAACACTACATATTAAGTTTTGAAATCAGTACTTAAAATAATATAAATTTTAAAATTTCAAATGAACTATTTTTATATGACAAAGGTACTATAGGATAATTATTAGATTCAGGAAGGGGGAAAAAAGGGTTGAAACACGGAAATAATGCTGTTCTCCAAAATTGGACTTGCCAAAAGGTGGAAATATAAACTTTAAAGGTTGCCTCGCAATTAAAGGTCCGACTGAAAAAAGGCAACTAGTCAAATATTGTGACTTCGTGGTTGCATTGAAACTTCTATATTGTTTTAGTGAAATTTTAATTGTATTTTTGTATAACGAATTTGAAGTAACTCAATCATAAATCATAGATCATGCACAATGCACCTGAAGAACTACAAATAAATAAGTAATATTGCTCACAAAAATATTTCAAAATCAGATATAGCACTTGATGCTTGCATGTATACAAGACTAATGTTCGATAATAACAAATAGCTTATATTGTTTTTTAGACAAACTAGTATCGTGCCCGTACGTTGTACGACAAGTATTTAAATACTAATTTTTAAAAGATATCATCGACGTTAACTATACCGTAAATATTTAGATATTAGCATAAATAATGATTTAGTAAAGATGTTACTTATTTATTCATAAAGATATCAAGCCAATTTTTCTTCTTCTATTTTTTTTTTTTTAATAAAAGGCTCCAAATATAATGATGGAAAAATGAACTATCGTAATTCTCCAAAGGCCAAATTAAGACTTGCAAATTTTTCATATTTAAAATTTAAAGCTTAAGAAAAAACCGAAGAAGTGATGCAGTTAGAAAATCACGGCTACCAGAAATAATAACTGACCAATCACAGCTCCACAACGGTCACAGTTACGACTAGTCATCAGTCCTCTCTACTACGAAAACTGATAGAGTCCCCAACCCGGCATTTTCCAATGTTATCTTTTCGACTCAAATTTTCTTTTTAGATTTTGAATAATTTGTTTTTCTCCCCCATCTTCATCGGCAAAACGAAAATTGGTTGTCCCAAATTTATTGGAAGAACATTCCTTTTCATACTGGAAGACACCCTTAATGTTCATATTGAATATTTGAGCATTTGGAATCGATCCCAGATTCAATTGCTCAAAAAAAAAAAAATGGTGCAGAGAATCAATTACAGAACTCTGCAATGCAGGGTGATTTTATGTGGGATTTCCATTTTCCTTCTCTTCAGTTTCGTAGCCAAGATGAAGGATGGCGTTAGTATCACCTCCAAATCGCAGAACCACGCTTATATTAACGGCGTTGTCAGCGTTTTAGATGCGAAAAATGGTTTCCCCTGTGACGAAATCGAAGCCCTTGATTGCTACCACTCTGTGTTTGAGAAATTGCTTCAACAGGGTTACCTTAGACCGGCCTCAAAATCGTTATGCATCAACTGCGCTAAAGATCAAGAACTTGTTGCGATGAGAGATTCCGGCAATGGAGTTTCCGATGTTGCGGTTGAGTATTCCGGCAAGAAAATTGCTCCCTTATCAGCATCAGGTTTGGGGTTTCTCAGTTCCTTTAGTAATGATACTTTCGACTTTGAATTCTTCAGTTCCCGAATTGATGTTTCGGATATTTGGTCAGTTCATCCCTCCGAAACTGCTTCTGAGGTTTGTAGGATTCTTAAACATGGAGGGTATTTGATTGTTCATATTTCAATTAAAGATGAGTATAGCTTTCAATCTTTTGTCAATTTGTTTGATTCTTGTGGGCTGTTAAGGTTTAGAGACATTAAACACTTGAATTCTTCTCATTGGATTCGTGAAGCCATTTTCACCAAAAACACTCTGTATCACTCTGTTTCAAGTTTTGATCACAAAGGGAGATGTCAAAATGGTGAGATGGTTCCAAAATATAAGTGGGATTTGATTGATAGCCTTGAGCCATTAGCAGAGAAAGAGCCTCAAGAAGATTGGACCGAAGCCCAGAAATATCAAGAAGCAATCAAGTCATTCAAGTATGTTCCTAACTTGGTCGATTTAAGATTCAAGAAAAGGTACATTTATGTTGATTTGGGAGCTCGGACTTATGCTTCAACTATTGGTAATTGGTTCCTCAAGTTGTATCCAAAGCAAAGCAATGAATTCCACATCTTCGCAATTGAAGCAGACAAAGCTTTCCACAAAGAGTACAAGAACAGGAAAGGGGTGACTCTGTTGCCGTATGCAGCATGGATTAAGAATGGCACACTGGTGTTTGGGACCAGAAACAAGAAGAGGGAATACACAGGCAGGATTCAACAGCAGGAGTCGGTAATAACCCGGGATTACGCCAAAGAACAGAACATCGTTCAGGCGTTTGATTTCGCCGATTGGTTGATCAGATCGTTCACGAGACAAGATTATGTGGTGCTGAAAATGGATGTGGAAGGGAGTGAAATGGAAATGGTTCCTAAATTGGTAGAAACAGGTGCAATTGGATTGATCGACGAGGTGTTTATCGAATGCCATTATGATCGGTGGGTGAAATGTTGCTCAGGTAGAAGGACTCAAAGGTATAACACCACTTATGAACAATGCTACAATTTGTTCTCTAAACTCAGGCAGCATGGTACTGTTGTGCACCAATGGTGGTGATTCCATCAAAGCTCACATTATTTTCCGTAGCAAATTGAACTGTGTTGATCATCTTCTTTTTTCCAATACAGCATCATACAGTAGAGTTTAGAATAAAATTACAGAGCTGTGTGAGGAAAGTAAAGCTAGAATGAGATAAAAGATATGATAAATGAGTTTGTAATCTGGTATTCTGGTCTAGTGTATTGTGGTAAACAATCTGTATGAGGCATGATAGTCATCTCATTTTAACAAATGAGCTTCTTTTTAGTCAAACGAGCTTCTTTTCTATTGCCCTCCAAAATCACACGCCTATCAAATGGAGGCTATACTTCAAACCGTTAATAAAATCGACCAAGGATACAAAGCGCTGACAATATGATTTTGGAGCTTGAAGTTCTGCTGTAAATTTTTTCTTGTCAGAGAACGTTTACGGGACCGTTTCAAGGACGTTACCAAGCTAATATTTTACACTCCATACTAACATTTTCATGGAAGTAATGTCAATCAGGATTTAAAGTTACATTTTTTTTATACCGAACTTGTTCTTTTTCCATTTTTTTGATGGAGTTTATTTACCATTAATGTATTTCTCCAATTTTGACGTCACATGATCTGATACTTATGGTGTTTATTTTAGACTTATGACCACATTCAAGTTTCCTTGTTGCAATGAAATTGTAGTCTAACCGATACATCTTGATGCACAATCGCAAATTGTCATCTCTTTACAAACGCCGCTCTTTGCCGCTGCTACTTTGATACTCTTAATTTGATACTCTGTGGTATTCTGTTTCACCCCTAGTTTGTAGCCAAGATGAAAGATAGTGTCGGCGCCAATATAAAAAATTGCACGACCAAAGCTTATATTAATGGTTTTGTTGTTAATGTTTCATCTTCAAGAAATGGATTTTCCAGTGTCTAACATTGAAGCTCTGGAATGCTGGAAAGCAGTGTTTAAGAAACTGATCCAACAGGGCATATAAAGAGCGAAAAACCCCGCCTGAATTCGAACGATATACGATCTCTGTACAAAATGCATTTGGATATCAACTATATAATCTCTGTATAAATGCATTAGAATGAAATCCAAACTGGTGGACAAATAAATCTAAGAGACTGGATGTCCCTAAATCGAGTAATAGTTCCATCCTCAAGATTATAAATTCCCATATCCTCACCACACCTAAACCGAAACGGCCTCATCCTCTCCCATGTCTATCATAAAAGGTATACGATTCAAAACAATCGCCGGTAAAATAGATACAATTAGCCTTAATAACATCCGGAAATGCAGAAGCCACAATTGACGTAGCAGTACTATGGCCAACAAAAATAGCATCCATGTCCAAATTAGAAATTTCCTCCCACTCGCACTTTGTCAAGTCCAATCGAACGACCTTAAAATTAGTAACACCATAGTCCCAATCTTCCACACATTCAATACGATCCCGAATAATTACTAGTAAGTCGCCGCTCGATGATTCCACGAGATATGCTTCCCTACAATCAACTAATTCAAAATCGATAGAGAAGAGGACACGGGCAACACGAACAATTCGTGCAAAACCGGGTCCTCAGTTTGAGCAGACCGTGCAACCCTTGTCTTATCAGAAGATCCATCACAAACCTTGCTAGTTTCATTGACAACTTTCACAAATGGTGAAGATTCATCCCACACACAAACTCCACCAGACGCACTGATGGCATAAAACTTTCCATATCCCACCAAAAGGAGGCTGTGTTTACTTAGACCTCTGTCCATATCAAGTCGCCGGACCTCCAAAAGCCCAAGGAGGTACCCGCACGATAAACTACAGTTACAACAAAATCTGACGTGTGCGAGGGCTTAGCGGACAGAATAGCCCTAAATATATAAATATATACATCTGGAAAGCTGCTTAAGTTCACGAAAATCAGGGAAAGAAGTACAATTGGGAAGTTGGATATGAGAACAAGTACGAGGGTTAAATAAATCAACCTCGCCTGAATTTGAAACGGTTAGGAACCACCCAAATCCAGCCTCCATACACTTTTTACCCTTTATCTCCGGTAGCGGTAATCGCATAGCAATCTTTCTTCTCGATAGACTGTAGAATTCACGTTCGTCACTGCCGCCTTTCTCCGCGAGCATAAGAAACGGAACCCTTCTCAATGAATGGACAAACTTATCCTTCGTCGCCGCGGCTCGCCAAGAAGCACAAATTCCTCTAAAAGCCATGAAATCTGCCACCACCGGTATACGCTTCGCTATCTCTACCAACATCTCGTGAATTAAGGTCGACCAATCACTAACGGGTTCCATGGATGGTAGACTGAAAGGAGGGAAGAAACAACTTTTCTCGATATACTGGATGGTTCAATGGAAACGGGGTGAGGAATTATTTTCAGCAGAAGAGCAGTTGTTGGGTTTCTCTTTGGGAAAAAAAAAAAAGAAAAGCATGCGGCCAATATATTTTTAATTAAAAAAATTTCAAAATATATTTTTCACATTTCGTTGTGTTCATTTAATTACAATGAGATATATTTAAAATTTTTATTTTATTAAAAAAATATCTATGTGAAATTTAGAATGGAAGTATATTTGTGGTGGGTGGGGGATGATGATGTAAGACCAATCCAATTTTGCTGTTTAGCCCGTGATAATTGTCGACCCAAACCCAACTCAAGATTAAGGCTCTGTTTGATATTCACTTAATATAGTGATTTAATTTATTTAAGTAATTAATAAAATTAAGTGTGTTTGATAATCGCTACTAAGAAGTTTTAATGAATTAAGTTTTGAACTAATGAACTACTTATAAATTAAGTGCGTTTAATAAATAAAATTTCACTGTCTGAATTAATTAAGTGCGTCTGAATGGCCAGTTCAATTGTGAGCCAGAAAATAAGTGATAGGCCTAGCACTTATCACTTATCACTTAATTTCTGTGTAACTCTTTTTTTTTCTTTTTTCTTTTTTTCCTTTTTTTCCCCTCGTCTTTATTTTGTCACTTATTTTTACATTGTTTTTAAAATTTTTATTTTCTTAAGATAAATTAATTAAGAGTGCTTAAAGTTGAATTTATATTATGTGTATAAAAGATTTCAAACTTTCATACTCAAATTAAACTAATTTTAATACATGAAATTTACTAAATAACAAGGTATACACATATATGTAATAATCTAAATTTAATTATATACTGATTATTTACCAAGTGTAACATCTACTTTCATTATATATACAAAAACTTATGTTAAAATTATTATTTTATTAGTTAGAAAAAAATATTAGTTATTTTTTTTTAAAAGAATTTTGTTTATAATTCAATTTTAATGATATTAAAATTTTAAATAACTTTCAAACATGAGTATTCAGATTTAGTCTTCAGACTTCAGACTTCAGTCTTCAGATATCATATTCAGACCTTTTTATCAAACAATGTTAATTCGGTTTTCAGACTTCAGACTTCAGTGTTAAGTGTGAAGTGTTCAGATTCAGACTTCAGTGATTATCAAACAGACCCTAAGGATGACTTATTTGATCTATGACTTGTTTGATAAACTCAAAACCATAATAAATAAGTTAAGGCATGGTTTGACTGATTGTAATTTGTAACGGTTCTTGGTATCAATTGGTTATTTGGGAGGGTGCTTCACCATTTTGGGGGTGGGAAACATTTGATGGGTAAACTGAAAAGTAAATGGTAAATGGTTGGTTGCGGGTAAAAGGATTGGGTAAGTTTTTTTTTTAAAAAAAATGAAAATTTAAATAATTAGATTAGTATTGTAATATCTTCATGATTTTTTATTTTTTAAGTAACCTAATATATTAAATTCCGAGATTGGTCAACTTAAAGAAAATATATCATTATGCTGGTTTTGGGTCAAAAAATTAAAACTGTTTTGTTACGGACCAATTATTGAATTGTTTTGTTGCGGAATTTTGGTCATTTGTAATGGACCAATTTTCGAGGAATAAAATATGACTTTCGTTTTAAAATACGAATTAATTATTCAATCTTTCCTTCCCTTATGTCCAAAAAGAAATATCTTTCCTTTAATGTGTATCAAATTTTTTCCGCAAGAATTACGCATCAAATTTTACATCGCACTGCAGTGTAAAACTCGGCTAGTTTGTTTGTGTCCTCATTTTATTGTATGTATTTGTGATCAAAGGCTTTGCGGGTTGGGAGGGGATGTGAGCAATACGATTTTTGTTCGACAAAAAGTTTATTTTCGATAACCGTCTTTTTCATAGACGATAATCCTCTATATATAAAATTAGCGAAGAACTTTAAACAATTACAATAAATTAACACAATCCGCCTTAAACAACTTATCTAACCACAAAGGAGTGTTATCGATTTAACTTTGTGTACAATTACTAAATAAGTTTAATGTAGCTAGATTATGACATGAGGAGTTAGTTCTAATCTTTTTGAATAAACATAAAATTTACATTTATGAAACCAATTTTTCAACAAGAAAATGTCTTTAACTATGATTATAATATCTGAAATAAGAATAATCTTACCCAGTAACCAAGCAACCATATTCTTCACATCTACTTGGATTTCAACCTTTTGATCCTTCTTTATTGCACCCCTGCCATTGCTTTCCTAATTGCCTCTAATGCAGCTGCATATGTGCTCTGAATCACTTTTGACCAAGGATTTTGCCACTATCAACTTATCCTCATCATCTCTAATACAAATCCCTAATGCAGAAGAACTACTGCCCATCTTCATTTCAGAGCTAACATTCACTCTTACCATCCTATTTTTCATGGTAGTTTCCATTCCTTTTGAGGTTCTTCTTCCCTTCCCATTCTGCTCACTATATTTTCTCCTTCTGTCTCCAGGTTCTATCTTCTTTCCCTCAAAAGGCCATGTGTTCCTGGCTTCCCACAGGTGCCACAACAAGTATATTGTTGCCTCCACTCTGGCTTGGATCTTAGTACCCTTGTCAATCATCATGATAACTCTCCACCAATTTACAAAGTTAACAGTGTTATTTCAACCCATCCCATTTTACCGGTGCCATCTTCCATACAAACTCCGCAAAGTTACAGAAGAAAAAGATATGTTCAATACTTTTAGCTCCACTATACAACTTCTGTATCTCTCCTGCACCTGCATACCCCTCTTGTTCAAAGCTGCAATCGGTGACATCCATCCTTTAAACAACTTCCACACGAAATGTCTCAATTTAGTTTTAACTTGCAACTTCCGTGTCTTAGACCAGATTTTCTCCACCTAATCTCTCCCCCTACTGGACTCACTTTCCCTTCTCAATCCCTCGTTCTCCTTTTCGATACCTTTGAAAGCGATGTTACTGTAAATTTACCATTTGTTTTCCCTTTCCACACATGTACATTCGCGCCTCCAAATTTACTAAGAGGGATTTTTAACACCATCTCTACTTCAGATGGAATAAGAGGGAGTATTTGGTTTAAAATCTCTCTTCTCCAACACTTGGTAATCGGATTTATCAATTGATCCACCTTATTCAGGTTTAGATCACCTCGGTCTCCTCTCCTTAATCCTAGTACACAGTTTTTCAGGAGCCAAGTATCTGTCCAAATATTTCTGTTTTCATCTCCTATTTTCCATTTCAACCCCCCTTGCTAGCCTCTAAGTCTAACCACCCCTTCCATAGCCATGAATCACCATTTTTTGGTTAAACCTGCGAAAGGTTTTTATTTGGGAAGTATCTTTCTCTCATCACTATTGCTAGTAACAGAATCCTCCGCTCTTGTTTAGCAAGTGAAGCCTTATTGGTTGACCTAAGGTTTTTAAATCCTAACTCTCCCATCTCTTTTTCTTTTGCTAACTTATGCCTAGACTTCTGTGCATTTTCCTTTACACCTTATTATTTCCGCCAAAATCCAGCCATACTTCTCTCGATCTTATTACAAATACTAGCAGTTAATTTGTAAGAAAACATGGCATAATTGGGAAGTGTTTGTACCACATATTTCAACTTTGCATACCGACGACACCATCTTGTTCTTCCAGCTTCTTATCCTTTTTGTTGCAGCCTCTTCACATATCTGAATACTTCCAGTTTAGATCTTCCAATTACCAACGGCGGACCTAATATTTTGATTTTATATGCACCCAGTTGACTTTTGGTCTAAACATCTACCAACCATACTCAGACATTTTTTTTTCCAGATATCTAATTTTGCTAAGAACAGCCATATAAAAAATCAATGAATCATCACCAAACAAAAAATGTATTATTTCAGGCCTAAAATTACTAATCTTAACCCCTTTACGCTCTCGTCTTCTAGCAGCCTGGTTAATGAAATGTGAAAAGCCTTTAGAAGAAATTTAAAATAATAATGGTTTTTTCAATAAACGATTCACCTAAACTTATTTTTCTTCTTGGTTTTCACTTTTATTGCTTAGTGATTTTTGCACGCTTAAAGTTTATATTGACCTGAATGTTGGGACTGTTGCTAGACAATGTGCGTTTTGGGCCTTTTGAGTTGGACAGATACGTTGAATGACATCCTTGGCTTGCGTATGTGTTAGTCCGGGACTTTGTTCTCAATGCAGTGGCCTTTTTTAATGAATGGCCTCCTATGGCAGGGTGATTCATTGTGGGATTTCTGTTCTACCTCCTGTTCTATTTTGTAGCCAAGATGAAAGATGCTGTCGGCGCCAATTCCGAATTGCACAACGAAGCTTACATTAATGGAGTTTTTTTTAAAAAAAAAAAAAAATCCATCCCAGTGGACACCACTTAAATATGAGTAACCCTGCCTTACAAAACCCTGGTGGGAATCGAACTATGGTCTATTACTAAGAAATATAACACCCTAACCACTAGATTATCATCCAATTCCCACATTAATGGAGTTGTTAATATTTCATCTTCGAGAAATGGATTTCCCTCTGGAATGCTGAAAAGCAATGTTTGGGAAACTAATCCAACAGGGTTACCTTACACCAACTTCAACATCATTATGCGCGCATCAACAGTGCAGAAGATCAAGAACTTCTTGCACTTGAAAAGGCCGACAATATAGAGTTTCTGATCCTGCTGTTGTTGAGTTTTCCTTGAAAAATATTGCACCCTTTTCATCCTCAGGTCAGGGATTTCTTTCTTCTTTTGGTAATGATAGTTTTGACTTCGAATTTTTCAGTCCAATCATTAATGAGATGGATATTTGGTTACCTCAGCCTTTAGAAACAACTTCTGAGGTTTGTAGGACTCTTAAAGATGGAGGGTGTTTGGTAGTTCATTTAATTGTAGTATAATTTCTCAATCAGTGCATCAATCATCGTGAACACTTCCAGCATAACGATTATGTTCCACTTTTGATTCACAATGTATTCAATCATTTGTCCGTTAAAAGTTTAACTATAATCACGATGATTGTAACATAAATTTAACACTTAAAAGGTATTACAGTAAATATGATCGGTAAATTTTGCCACGATGACTCTGTCTCTGATGGCATAAGATGCATTGAGATGGACTCATTCAGATACCTATCTGCATTCATTATCTCAGAAACGCGTGAAGACTCAAACTTTAGTTTAAAAAGAAAAACACAGGAGACCAAAAACTCATTTAATTTGTTAGAAAAGTAGGAGAGATCATCTTGATGCCATATATCTCTCTCCTTATCCAAATTGTGGAGAAATGATTTAAGAAACATCAAGGAATCTGGAAAGAGTTTACTACTTTTGTTAATATTTAATTAATTTAAGCTACTCTCTCCCATCTAATAAAATCAAATTCCCCGCCCTCATTTTCAGCTGTATTTAAAATTTAATTTTGTCCTTATAGGAATATATTTTTGCCAAAAAAAAAGGAAGACCAGTTCAGCAGTCCGCATGCTAATTATTAGTAGTATCAAACTTGAAACTTTGAACCCAAATAGTACTAACCATATTGGAAGAGCTGAAAAGCTTTGCTATTCATACTGGACAACAACTTTTGAGCAATAGAATTCAAGATTCAACTGCTCAAATTTGTTTTGTTCACAAAACAAAAAATATTGGCATTAGAAAGGATCAGATACATGAGTCTCCAATGTAGGGTGATCCTATGCGGGATTTCTGTTTTCTTCCTTTTCTGTTTTGTAGCCAAGATGAAAGATGGTGTCGGCGTTTCCAACATTAATGGCTTTGTCAATGTTTCATTTTCAAAAAATGGATTTTCCTGTGACAACATTGAAGCTCTGGAATGCTGGAAACCAGTGTTTGAGAAACTAATCCGGTAGGGTTACCTTAGACAAACTTCAACATCATTATGCATCAACTGTGCAGAACATCAAGAACTTCTTGCACTAAAAAATGCCGGCAATGGAGTGTCTGATCCTGTTGAGTTGTCCGTGAAGAATATTGCAGTCTTTTCATCATCAGGCCAGGGATGTCTCTCTTCTTTTGGAAATGATAGTTTTGACTTTGAATTTTTCAGTCCAAGAACTGATAATGGTATTGGTATGGATATTTGGTCACTTCAGCCTTTAGAAACTGCTTCCGAGGTTTGTAGGACTCTTAAACATGGAGGGTATTTGGTAGTTCATTTAGCAATTAAAGATGAGTACAGCTTTCAATCTTTTGTCAATTTGTTCACTTCTTGTGGGCAGTTAAGGTTTAGAGATATCAAGAACCTGAATTCATCTCATTGGATTCGCGAGGCGATCTTCACGAAAATCTCCCCGAATCGTTCTGTTTCGAGTTCTGATACCGCAAAGAGTTGTAGAAATGGTGAGATGGTTCTGAAATACAAGTGGGATTTAATTGATAGTCTTGAGCCATTAGCAGAGAAAGAGCCTCGAGAAGATTGGACTGAAGCCCAGAAACATCAAGAAGCAATCAAGTCATTCTAGTATGTTCCTAATTTGGTCGATTTAAGATTCAAGAAAAGGTACATTTATGTTGATTTAGGAGCCAAAACTTTTGATTCAACCATCGGTAATTGGTTTCTAAAGCTGTACCCAAAGCAAAACAAGGAATTTCAGATCTACGTTGATTGAAGCAGATAAAGCTTTTCATGAAGAGTACAAAAATAAGAAAGGGATCACTCTGTTGCCATACGCAGCATGGATTAAGAATTCCACATTGTTGTTTGGGACAAGAAACAAAAGGAGGGAATACACGGGCAAGATTCAACAAGAGGAATCGATTGCGCAGGATTATGTTGGCGAACAGAACAAGTTCAGGCGTTCGATTTTGCTAATTGGTTGACCAGGTCATTTACAAAGCAAGATTACGTGGGATGTGGAAGGAACTGAAATAGATTTGGTTCCTAAATTAGTAGAAACAGGTGCGATTGGTTTAATCGACGAATTGTTTATCGAATGCCATTATGATCGGTGGGTGAAATGTTGCTCAGGTAGAAGGACTCAAAGGTATAACACCACTTATGAACAATGCTACGATTTGTTCTCTGAACTCAGGCAGCATGGTGCTGTTGTCCATCAATGGTGGTGAATCCATTAACACTATCATTAATTTCATCGCGTGATCGGGTTGTTTTACCCTTGAATCACAACTTTACAGTGAAGTTCTGAATGAAATTACAGAGTAACTTGAGAAGAGTAAACTAGAATACGGTGTCAATACGATTTGGTGTTCCATTTTTTATACCAAACTTGTTCTTTTTCCACCATTTGATGGTAAGGCTTACTGTACTATTATTCCTATTTTGTGGCATCACATGACCTGCTTTGAAAATAATCATGGTGTCTGTTTGAGACTTGTCCCATTGCCGTCTCTTTGCTGCAAGTGTGGTTATAAGTTTAACGGATGCGTCTTACTTCATAACTGCAAATTGTTCATCTCTTTACAAACGTAACCACTAACTGGAGTACTAATAAATACTATACCATGTGCAAACTATTCCCTTCGGCCTTCACTCCTAACATGGCACAAAATTTAACTGCTTTTTATGTAAATTTATATAACTGATAGGACAATAAAAAAAGATAATGTATTTAAGAAATTAGATAACTTTGCCCGTTATTTTATTACTGAAATTACTTGCACCCAATAAGAAAAGGTACAAATTAATACAATTCAAATACAAAAAAAAAAAAAAAAAAACTATGTATTGCCATGTCCTTTTGCGTGGCACTATTATATCTAATAATAAAAATGATAATTAAGTGGAATGAAATCAAATAATGAACTAAAACACTGAATAATGTAAAGATAAAATCATCCATTGATTCTTTTGCTCAACGTGATACAGTATATTACATATTTCATTTTGACATTATCTACTACTATCTCATCACACATACTTTTTTTTTTTTACATATTGCAGGGTGTCCACCGTCGTCAATAATCAATTAATCCCCCTCGCTCATGTTAGATACCTTGGTGGGTGAGATAGTTGGCCAAAAGATTTAAGATTGCTCTATCCTCAGGGACAGAACCACTAAGGGGCTCGGGGGTCCAGATCCCCCGCCCGGCCAGTGACCACTGAGGAGTAGCTCTAGCCGTTACCCCAGATGGCTTTGCAATGATATTCAGTCCCCTCATATTCTCAAAGTGAGGGGCTGGAGGTAGAAGACGGCACTGTTTTACTTTTCTCAACCTTTAATTTTTTGTTTAACCAAGCCCAATTGTTTGATTAGTTAGTCCAGTCCAATTTAGGTTCCTTGAAATTCATTCAGACCTCATCTCCTACTCACAAAATAGGTCCAAATGTCCAATATTCTTCTCCTTTTCTAATCTTTAAAGAAGTTAAAAAGCCCAACCTACCACTAAATAAAAAATCCTAGTGGCAACTCGATGACATTTTTTTCCTACAAAACAAGAAACAAGGGCTTCGTATTTGTCTTTCTTTTATAGGATTTTTCGATTTAGAATTTAGTTACATTTTTCATATTCTTAATTTAAAAGAGAAAAAAATACATTCACTAAGAGAAAAAATATTTCTACCAGAAAGAAATAAAAAAAAAAAAAAGAGTCAAAATCACGGTCTATCCACTTCTACTTAGCTAATTGTTGTAACACCTCTTGTTAAAAGTTTATTTTAATATCTTTTAATGTTAGTAATAAAAAAAATTGCGTAAATGTATAGGCAGGAGGGAGTACATACTTTCAATCACTTTACAAGTCTACCTTATTCCGAGCAAATGCCGTTTAGGTAGGGCCTTGTTTCTCAATGTGCCTGAAATGGAGGCATGAGGCCTGCATTGATAGCACTTCAATGTTAAGTCGCTAACAATATTAAAACGGCAATTATTTGGAAACAAAGATTGATAATGTTTCGAGGTGTCCATCATATGGAAATTTATGTATAGTTAACTTGGTGTATAGTAACTAACAGGAATCATCAGTAGACGTAATTTGAATGTTGAGCTGGGCTGGCTGGCTGGTACAATAAATATGACGGATCACTGGGAGAGAGTGGACATCCGTGCGGGCAAAGCAGCCCGTATAATATAATAACTGACTCCCCCTGACATATACTCACATGCTTATGGCTCTCTTCTTCCTGCCCTTCTTCTTCTGCAACCCACGTTTTTTAAAATATTTTACCCCTCCAATAATTCATCCCCGGACCTTCTGCAGTTTTGCACTATCCTGTTCGACAGAGTAAATTACTCCCGGATTCCTTTGAAACTTGGGGTTACTTTATTAGTACTATTATTAGGGTGTATTAAAGTCCTACGTACACGACTAATTATGTTGACTACTGCTACTTCAAAGTCTAGTTTATGAGATTTGTTTTACTAGTCGTCACAACTTAATGAAGGTATTAAATTAGCTTGTTGCATTTTTGAAATTGACCTTGTGCCATTTTCACTTATCCTAAACTTTCATGTTCTAGTCTCCTTGTCAACCCCTTTTGTCGTCTTAACACCTGTATTATCCCTTCACCCAACCCCTCAATTATCACCAGCAAGTATCATACCATGGTTAGAACACAATCTAGTCTTTTAGTATGCTTAACAGGAGTAATGACTCCCCCAACAAGTGAGAGGCGATGAGATGAGTATAGGGAATTGGAATGAGTATAGTCAAATGTTCATTTTTCATTTTATTTTAGAAACAAACAATTTTGATGAACTCGCGATCCCTCAAGAAATGCTAAAATTTGTCTCCGGCGAAATACTACTGACACTTCAATACAAAACTAATATGTTACCAACTCATCAACACAAAATACTATGCAATTTATAACATCTAGTTGAATCACAAAAAATGGACACAAATATGTCCAATATTTACCACCCTTACCCATGTGACTACCAACTCATTCAATTCAACAATTGCTATTTGCTTACTATGTGTACAACAACCACTAGTATAGTCCAACTACCGTTACTATACTAGTACTACTAGTGGAAAAGTACTAACAAATTTTATGAAGTGACCATTGCTTAATCAAGACAACATACCCAACTAGTACGTAACAACAAAAAGACTACTAACAATCAAGCCATGAATAGAGAAGTTTACTAGAACCAAACAAAAAAATCAAGCCATGAGCCAACAACACCAACAGTCAGTCAAAAATTAATCCCAAACAACAAAACAAACCCATTATTTCAGCCCCACTTTTTTGTTTTTGGGCCCTTTGTTTTTTAATTCTTGGTGTCAAATCTCAATACACAATTCTACAATTCCCCAAACTTTCACCACTTTAGGCCTTTTTTACACTGCTCTCTTTTATCATCTCCCTGCCATTTTCCCTGGGAACGATCAAAAACAAAAAATCTCCCTGCCATTTTTCTGCCACCATTTTCAGAACTTCCCTACTGATGCTGGAATTTCTCATTTTAACACCCCCATTCTCTCTCCTTAGCTGTTGATTTTTTTACCCTTTTAAGTTTTAATCCAATCTTTTCGATCTGTTGTTGCATCTTTAAAGCTCTTCTCATTTTGTTGCTAGTATTTTTGTAGTACTGGCTTTACCAACCATGGAAGCTTTCAGCTTATTGAAATACTGGCGGGGCGGCGGCGGCGTTTTCACCCGCGACGCCGTTTGCAACCAGTCCTCCTCCTCATTTTCTTCTTCCGGTAGCACTACTATAGTCACTACAGTCACTCCGAATTCTTCCTCCTCATCGGACTCCGATGACGAGGGTAACGATGATGGGCCATTTTTTGACTTGGAATTTACTCTCCCAGATGACGACGATGACGAAAAGGACTCCGGCCATAACCGGGCCAAAAACCAATTAGCGGAAAGTGATGTTGCAGTAATGGCGCCTCAAGTTGTTGTTCTTCGAGAATCGGGAAGTAGAGACTGTAATGTTGACGAAAAGGAGTTCTCCGGCGAAGGCGACGTCTCCAACGAAGACGACGACGACGACGACCAGAACGACGGTGCTGCAGAGATAAACTTCACCATTTCATCTTGTTCAACAGGTGACCCGAACGATTCCGCCGTGTTTCCAACCGGGTCGTCTTCCGACCCTGTCAATGCCGCCGCCTCTGAAACCACCCCAAAGTTCCCTGTTCCTTCCATTTTGAAATCCGCCACCAAATTTCGGGTCCAAATGCTGAAATTCAACAAATCTAAGAAACCCACAAAGTCCGAAGCGCGTGGGAAGAAGACGTTGCAGAAGGAGGAGCAGGCAGAATTGAAGGAGAAGAGAGCCGCCGGTAGTGAAGATCCTAAGCCCAATAACACTAATAACAAACTTTTGACGGTGAAGTTGAAGGTTGAAGAAGTGCTGCCGCTGGTTTCGTTATTGTTCTCGAGGGATCATAGTAATAGCTCAGCAAATTCAAAGGGTCTGATTTCTAATTCCAATTCCAAAACAAACAAGCGAAATGGCTTCGAGATTGATGGTGATATTACCGATTTTTCTGGTGAAAATAACGCCACTAGTTCGAGTAGTGAAGATGAGAAGAAATTTGCAAAGGAATTGATGAACAAGTATTTGAAGAAAGTGAAGCCCTTGTACGTTCGCGTTTCTAAGAGGTACGGTGACAAATTGAGGTTTTCCGGGCAACTGGGCAGCGCCCTGAAGTCGGCGACGGTGCCGCCGCCGGATTGTGCCCAAAAGCCACCTTTGCCGGTGGTCGAAGCTAGTGAAGAAGGGACTGTGGCTGAAGAAGAGGGTGCAGTGACTAATAATAATGTCTTGTTGAAGGGCCAGAAACAGGGGAATTTACAAGCTGGTTTGCGGGTCGTTTGCAAGCATTTGGGGAAAAGCCGGTCGGCATCGGCGTCGGCTCCGGCACCGGGTCCGGGTCCGGCAGCAGGTACGGAGTCGTCGAGAAGGCGGGATGATTCGCTGTTGCTGCAACAGGATGGGATCCAAAGTGCCATCATGCATTGCAAAAGATCCTTCAACGCTTCCCGAGGTAATCAAATTTGATTTTACTCAATTACTGGTAGTAGTAGTAATTCTCACTTCTTTCCTCGCTACTTTTTTTTTTTTGCTTCAGTTACTGGTTTCTAAAAATTTTGTTTGTCATGTTTCGAACCAAATTGTTCATCGTTCGTACGTTTGGATTTTTTTTCTCCCAGATGAAATTAACCGATAAATATTCTGGAAATCTCTTTGGTTTTTGCACATTTTAGATATGGAGGGAACCTTATTATCAACGAGATCAGTCCGAATCAGTAGTAGTGATCCATCGAAGAAGATTCAGAGTTAAAATTGGTGAAGCAAAGGAGATGAGAGATTCTGAAGGACGAGGGCATTTTGCATTGGTGGACTTGCGACGACGACGACCCGTGATTTGTGAAGAATGACGAATTTCTCTATTGTATTTCGTACGTAACGCAAGTTAGATATTTACTCGCAGTAGTATTGTTTAGATTAAACTAAAAGGAGAAGGTTAAATAGTGGGCAGTAGAATTAAGATTAAACTATTAGTTGTAGCAGAGTAGCTGGTAGCAGTCAGTAATGGCAGTGGGATAAATGAAAGGTGTAAAAAGTAGTAAAAACAACCAAAAAAGTAGGTGAGTGTGTGACTGTGTGGATGGTGTAAGTGTAACGTAGGAGTAGAGAGAACAAAAAGAAAAGGCACAACCTCGGTGCGGTGGTCAACCCTGTCTTCTTTGGTATTAGTGATGCCATTGACCCTATATAAACGATAAGATTAACAAAACTACTCAACAGCAATCATCATTACTTTTAGTTTTTAGGTTTTCTTGCTTTCTTCCTTGAACTTGCTGCTGCTGCTGCTACTGTAGAATTATCTGTTAGAATAATCAATCTAGCATTGCTAAAATTTTCTAATACTGGTATAGTAAACCTATCAAAATACTATTTGAAGTTTGATTTCTGAAAATTTTGAATTGTAAACCTTTCCTTTATGGTTTAGCTATCCATTTTACAGTTGCAAAGATGTCATGATACCAATATTTATCAGACAGTTTAACAAAATAGATTTTTTTTTCTTTTTCTTGTCGGATGAAACAAAATTGAGTTTTAGTACTATGGGGACAAAGTAGTAGTATTGGGGAGTAGGGACCATCCTTTTGTTACGACGACACGGAACTAATACAGTATAACCATCTCGTGGTGAAGAATGCATAATTAATTTACTCATGACTTTCCCTACATAAAATAATTAGACGACGATAAATTTATCAAAGTAGAAAGGACAATGCAGTCTCCTCCAACTATCACATGTTACGGATGAACAAAATCATAAATGTGTCGCAGCATTGGAGTCTTGATAGATATTAGATTTTTAATTCATTTTAAAATTAGATTAAAATGGATGGAAGATAGATTTAATACGGCCTGATGTACAAAATGAGAAGTGAGAACAATTACTTTCTTTTCTATAATGTTACCAAATCAACATAGTCGTGAGGCATGAATGACCCTAAACCCAGAAAGAAAAAAAAAAAGGATGCCTTTCCGTCTTTCACCGGCAAATGATATGAAGTTGGAAGGGAAATACGAGAAAGTGAGTAAAAAATAGTCATGTGAGATTCTCTTCTCTTTTCCTCCTTTCGTTCAACTCCTACCGTCCTACGTTGTTCACTTTTTGCCTTTTCCCTGTTTCCATCGTGCGTGCTGCTGCCCCCAAACAACAACAAAGCTCGTAGTCTATAGATTGCAAAATCATAGTCTCATAGTCCACACCCTCTACCTGTGAACTCCAACGCATTTTCACAAAAACAAAGAAACCCTGTAATGTCGTCATTAGTTCTTTTTGGTTTTTTTTTTTTTTTGTTTTTTTTTTTTTAACTTTTCGAAGTGCATACTGCATAGGATCAGAACAATTACGACTTTTGCTCAAGGTTGGGGGTTGGGGGTGATAACGAATCATTTATGCGATTTGAAGAAACTATGAAATAATTTAAAGGTTAAATGATGACATGTATACTTTTTCATGTTTACTAAAAAAAATGTAAGACGTGACTAAATTACATTGCCTTCTCAATTACATTTTCATAAGTTTTTATAATTTTCTCATCTCGAAATGATAGTTCAGTTTAGATTCTTATTTTTTTATTTTCAAATTATAACTAAAATTTAAATTTAAATTAGACAATTACTGGAAGACTACAAATTTGATAATAATGAAACTTTTTTTTTCTATCAGGCTGGGATAAATTATCATAGCAAACATTTTGTGATTTATTCATTTTTCAAACAAGGGAAAAGGTCGGGAGAATTACCCCCTTGGTGAATAAACTGCCAATACATTGACAAGTGTGGTCCTACGTGACATGACTCCATTCCTCTATTGGAAGTTTTAGACAAATAAAACAAACAGTAGTAATAGTAGGTGATTCACAATTTGTCTCCTCTGGGCAGGCCTGGGTTGGGCCCTTTTCCTGAAGTTGGGCCTCCAAAAACGTCGGGCTGGCTTTGTACAATTTAGAATGTAATTGAACAGCTCTGACTTCATTTTAATTTTACATATAGAATAGAAAATTGGGGTAACCACTGGATTTAGAGAGGGACTGTTCCAATGAAATCTCTAGAGGTTCCATTATCGCCACGAAAATGGAACCAACTAGACTGTCAAACTCTAGTTGATAGAATCGTAGCAAGGCTTAAGTGTTGAAGCACGAGATATTTATCGTATGTTGTTAGGTTAAAACTAACTAGGTTATAGACCGTGCTTTTGTACGGGTATTTAAAAGGACTAATGTCTTTTGTTTCTTCTAAGCAATTTCAAATTATAATTTTCATTTATTAATATTGACAAAAAATTTTGAAGTGCAACAATGGAAGATCTTTTTGTGATATTTTCAAGAGGTGCCATGTACTATCCTTTCTCTTTTGTTTTGGTCGTTTTCTCTCCACAACATCACTTTTTAGTGGCTGCACAATCAAAAAAATTAAAACCCATAAATTCTTTAAATTCTATATAATACTATTATTGTGTTACCAAAATTTGGATGAAGAAATTGTTGGAGAATTTTAGAAATTTTTTTTAGAGAAGTTTTATTTGAGAATAGAAACTTGTAATTTATTTAACTGCTAAAAGTCATGAATTTGAGGGTTAAATACAAAACTATTTTTTTATCATCTTTTTTTTTGGATAAAAAACTACCACCTTTTTTGTGGGAAAAATTAAACCAGATTTTTTAGGATATTTTGACAATTGGATTTTTGGACAAAAAATAGTTTTTGCTGTAGTGGAGTTCAAGATTTGATGTGACACTTGGATTTTTAGAATTAAAATGGTTTCTGTTATAAATTAGGAAAGTCAAAAATTTTTTTAGGTTTTGTGGTGTTGTAAATTCGAAAAGAAGAAGATCAAAAATTGCCGTCAATGTGAGGATTTGAGGTGACTGTGCGGTGTTAGGCGGAGAGGAGCAGGTTAGTTCAATCTGGTTTTCAAAAAAATGGGAAAAAACAATGTCGTTTAACTCAGGAATTAAGAAAAGAAATGGTTCCCGTCTTTTTTTTCTTTGTTTTTTTTTACGATTTTTTTTTTAACTATAGGATTTGGGTGAGGAGACTTTTAAGAAAACATGAATATTTGAATTTTTGGAAAAAAGTATTTTTTGCTAAGTAATTTTTGCTATAATGGAGGTTATAGATTGACTCTGTCTCCTGCATCTAAATGTTTGCCAGACTTCAACATCTGTTTTACCTAGAAGTATAACAGAGATGATTAATAGATATTGTCAATAACTTTTTTGCGAGGCGTAGAAACATCCAACAAATATTTTGCTATAGTTGGATGAGATAAACTCTGTCATAAAAAGTCAGAAGGAGGGTTGGGAATATGGATGATAGGGTTTGCAATGACGTTACTATATTACGGGCCCGTTTGATAAAACTAAAGTCTGAAATCTGAAATCTGAATTAAATAAGTGACTGAATCTGAATGACTGAATAAGGTAAATTCAAATATCTGAATCTAAACACTGATATGATTTGGGCTGTTTGATAATATGATATGTATGAAGTCTGAATATGGAAAAAATCACCAATATGTCCTTATATTTAAATTTAAAGATATTTAATTAATTATAAAGTACTACATAACTTGTTATTACAAAGTTTTATATAATGGAGGAAATTATTTTACTTAAAAGGTTAATTAACTAAACTATATAAATGATGTAAAAAAATTCAAATTCAAATTAAAAGTTTACAAATTTTAAAAAATTATTCTAAAAATATCAAGAGTCAAACTAAACTATAATTATATTTTTTTCATCCTAAAATTGATTTTTTATTGTTTCACGAACATTGATCATAAAATTCCTATCAGTTTGTCTATTTCCTCCTATGAATGATCCAGCTGTTACATCACCTTCAAATAATTCTGATTCCAGATCATTGCCAAATATCATGTCTTCATTTTCAAATTCTTCGAACCAAGTATCTGTGGAGTCAATTTTGTGAAGAAAATTATGAATAGTCACACACGCAATAACAATATTTCTCTGAGTTGGAAATGGATATGGTGACTTTGTTTTTAGGATTGGGAAACGTCTTTTTAGTACGCTAAAACTTCGCTCAACTACATTTCTCAATCGGGCATGAGCTTGATTAAATTTTTCCTCTTTTGTTCTTGCACGTCCACCGGATTGAAAGTCTGCTAACCAATATCGCACATTACGGTAGGGTGTCAAGAATCCACGAGTAAGAAGATAAGCTGCATCACATAAATAATATTTTCCTACAATAAATGAAATATTTTGACTTATATATTATTAAGTTAATAGAATTCATTATAAAAATAGAATCAGTCAAAATAAAAACTTACCTGATAGTGGAAAAGGAAAATTACTCGTTGAATTTTGCATAATTTCTGTAAGTATTCTAGAATCATGTGCTGTTCCTTCCCAACCAGCCCACAAAAAGGTGTAAACCATGTCAAAATCACAAATTGCAAGTACATTCTGAAAACATTCTCCTTTACCTCTCCCCGATAGGGAGTTTGTAGCTCACGTAGTATGACTGCATTTATAAGAGTCCCATCTAAAGCACCAATTGCACCCTTAAATATAAGGAGAAAACATAACAGCCAAATTAGTTCACTGTATCTAAAATAGATTGTGATAGAAGCCTATGAAAAATAATACATATAACATTTAAAAACTCACCGGAAAAAATCTGTCCCAATTTGGCATTGACGTTGACTGTTGAATACACTTGGATTGAAATTTGAAACAATCATCTCCTTTGAAAATTTAAGCATAGCTTCAAGCACTTCATAAAAGTATGTGTGAATTGTTTGAGTTGAATGTTAATATCTTCGTTTTACTGCACGATTTGAATGGTGTAGACCTACACCTGTAAGAAACATTGCAATCTTTTCTTCAACTGAAATGTATCTAGTATCAGTTATCCAACGTCTAGTCCGAAAGTGACCACATAGGTGCATAAATGCAGGTAGTTCCATATGCAACATATCCAAAGAATGTGCATGATTTCCCCCAATAATTTCATCAACATATGCAGTGCCTGTTAATGCTGAATTTGTATTTGGTCGGCGTCCAATGCGTCTAATTCTGAGCTTTTTTAGAATTAATATTATTGCTAAAATCTTTAGCAACTTTTTTTTTTCTTTTCAGATAACATCTGTTCAAAAAAACACATCAAAGAATAATTTGAGCAATTGAAAATATTGCAACTCAGTAATGAATACCATTAAACATCAAATTACAACTTATTCATTCAGGAAAAAAATTCAAAAACCAAAAAAAAAAAATAAAAAATCTAAAACCATCAAGAGTACCATAAATTTATAATATCTAAAGTAAGCCTAACTTTTTCCTATTCATTGTTATCCAATTTTTGTGAACTTCTTCAGATTTTGAGCTTAAGTGAACCCAGTGTTCCTTATAGGCCTTCCCCTCACAGAAAATGAAAGTGGCAACTATATATAATGAGTCTGTATCTTCTAAAGAATCCATTTCATCTAGAATCTTATTGCACTCATCCATACTTGGCCC